TTTGGCACGCAAAAATGCATGCCAAGGCTTAAAGCAGCAACAACGCTACACATAAAAACTGATGATGGTGGAAAAATACACCGAAACGTATTTTGATTGATAAATAGAGACAATAAATGACTGAAACCCAGGAATGAATTTGATTTGGAATTAAAACACAGTCAGGAAAGTATAAACAATGATGTAAAAACTCACACATTTCGAGTGTTGATTAGAAGATCTTATCGCTCTAATTGACTGTTAAACATTGGCATGCTCTGTTTGTGTTTTATCGAAAGTAGTCAAATGCTTACCACTAAAAAACTTTGTAATGCGACACGCTACAAAGTTTATCTAGGTATACAAGGTTAGTCTTAGTTAGACCAAAGAGTAGAATGGAAATATTGCATTCTATTAGATAGGTACGCGAGTATTGAAATGTAAATTTTAACATAAAAGGCTGTCACCACCTCAGACAATGCGATTTATTGAAATGTCTGAATTAGTTTTGTCAATTGATTCGAAGACCTGAGACCCATAGAACATGTTCGGCAGATCTAATCGCATCGAGCATAAACGTGTTATCAAATGAGAAATCTTAATTTCATGCAATTTTTAATAAAGGGAAGTCTAACAGCTGACTTTCTTAATATGCAAGAATGCGATTTCGATTCCTTATGACATAGCTTACTAATATTTTTGCATTCGAAATGTGCGGTAGGTTTGGGAGATGCTTGGGGCGCTAGTCCAGTGATTCCGAACTCCAGGGAAATGCTGCTAAAAGAGCTGGGATCCTACCTCTTGCAAACTTTGGATGGTTTCATTTTTGTGGTCGCTCCCGATGGAAAAATTATGTACATCTCAGAAACTGCCTCTGTCCATCTAGGTTTATCGCAGGTAAAACGCACTTCTAGTCCCAACTGAAACCGTTGATAATAAAGCTCTGTCCAGGTGGAACTCACAGGAAATAGTATTTACGAGTATGTCCATCAGGATGACCACGAAGAAATAACTGCAGTTTTGACACAGTCACTACCTTACTCGCCATCATCAAACAACCACGACTACGAAATTGAAAAAGTGTTTTTCTTGCGAATGAAATGCGTTTTAGCCAAACGAAACGCGGGATTAACAAACGGCGGTTTTAAGGTAAGCAGTAGGTAATTAATTATTCATCAAATATTTCATGTACCTAACAACTACGCTCGTTTACATATCTACATCTAATGATGTTTTCACAAGTAGGCACTTGTCTTCATAGACTTCATAGAGCCCTGAGGATGACTTAAAAATGTATAGGCAAAACGTCGGCCCATGAACAAACAGTGTTTTCTTTTTGCCACCATCTATTGACCGAAAAACCTCCAAACCTAAATAATTACTGATTATCATCACGACCACTAATTAACCGCAACAATAAAGAACAATATCTCTTTGTCAATATCGACAGAAAACACCCACAAAGGAATAACGCCAATTTTGAATCGCCGTACTTATATATATTTGAAAGCATTTTGATTTTGAGACAGAGCATCTATGCCAGTAAAACTTTAGAAGACAAACTACTTCTCTTTCTTGCTTTAAATGAAGTTCCGTCTATCAGATGTTCAGATTATCTAGTCACAATCTAGTTAACTTAATCATCCTCGACAAGAGCTAAAACTTCATTTTGAGTACGTAACAGAACCGTAATTGGGCACTTATTACCTACACGCTGGAACAAGTTGATTTGCTTTTACATGCAAATATGGTTTGAAAATGCTACTGACTGCATATGTATATCTACCTATAGGTATGCGATGCGCCGTGTGTATATTAGCATGTGACGTGCTTTACTGAAAAATCACTGCTGGACGCATGATTATAAGTTTGAATAATAGGAATTAATGGAAATATAGCAAATATGTTGGCACACTTTACAGCTGCACTCAAACACATACGTGCTTGTACATAGCATACGTGACTTTGATGAAATGGACCATTTACATAGCAATGAGTATACCTATAGGTACATATACTAGATTCAGCTTTAGCCTAGTTTTTCAGCTGTTCAGCTATTGCCAACTGAACGAATGGTTGGACGAACGTGACAACTTTATATTATTTTGCTTTAAAAAAACTGTAAACAGTTCTAACTCACGATACTTACAACTGATTGTAAGACGTGCAGCTGGCCAGCAATATCAAATGATATATTATAGCGATGATAAATTACACGCGAACATGTTTCAGGTAATTCATTGCTCTGGTTACTTGAAAATTAAGAAGTTTCCACCCGGCAATAGCGGAACTTACGAACCAGGATGTTTTCACAATATGGGACTGGTCGCAGTTGGTCATTCGCTGCCTCCCAGTGCTATAACGGAGATCAAATTGCATGGAAACATGTTTATGTTTAGGGCAAGTTTGGACCTGAAGCTTATATTTTTAGATGCTCGGTGAGTTTTTAAAAATGCAATGCCTATATCCATCGAAAAACATTTTATGCAAATTTGATTGGTATTAATTTTATGATGATGGTGGAAAACACCGAAACGTTTTTTAATTGATAAATAGACAATAAATGACTGAAGCCCAGGAATTGATTTTGATTTGGAATTGAAACACAGTCAGGAAAGTATGTACAATTAATTTTAATTTAATTCAATAGAAATTCCTGGGTTCCAGTCAATTTTATTGTTTATCATTTAAAATGTTACAAATACGTTTCGGTGTTTTTCTCCACCACCATCAGTTTGTATGTATGGTTGTCTCTACCTTCACACTTGGCAAGCCATTTGTGGCTACCTACACTTTTGGCTATTGTATAGAGAAAACTTTGCTCTACAACTGGTTAAAAATTATGTTGAACAAAAAGTTTTCAGTAAAGATACAGGAATTTTCGAAATTTCGCTACAAGTCGCGGTTTTGTCCATCAAATCATTTTGAAGACTTTAAAAAAAATAATTTTTCTCAAAAGTGGATAGCAAATAATTTGCGCCTTTTGTTATCGTGTATAGAGAATTTTGCGCTATAATTGCTAGAAACCTATTTGAAATAGACGTTTTCAGTAAATTGTTAGTAATTTCCAGCATCTTATTACAAAAGGCGTTTTTTTCACCAATACTTTTGGCTGACAATTTTTCAAAAATTAATTTGCCTCAAAAAAGTTTTGCGCGCAAATTCCCCTTTTCATTATTATATAGAGAGAATTCTGCTCTAAAAAGTCTATTTGCTATAGTTTAAAGAAACGTTTTTGCAATTTTCAAATTATGGCCACAAACGACTTTTTTGTGGTCAACCTATTTAGTAGACTATTTTTCAAAAAATTGTTTCTGTCAAACGAGGTTGGCTAGCAAATAGCGCTTTTTACCATTGTATAGAGAAAACGTTGCTCTATAATTGCTAGTCGGTTATTTGCAATAAAAGGTTTTCGGTGAATTTGTAGAAATTTTCAAATTTTGGACATAATTTACGGACGGTATGTTCCAGCAATCTATTTTTCAAAAATCTGTTCATTAAAGGAGTTTTGCTGGCAAATCGAACTTATGCCGCTTCGAACTATCGTATAGAGAAAACTTTGCTCTATAATTGCTATCAGCTTATTTTCAATAAGGTTTTCAGTTAATTCTTAGGAATTCCGCCAATCCATTTTGCTGGTTACTTTTCAAAAATTAATTCCCCTCAAAAGAGTTTTGCTATTCAATTCCGTTTTTACTTGTTGTATAAAGGAAGCTTTGCTCGATCATTTGCAAAAGTATAATTACAATCAATATTTTCAATAACTATTCAGGCCGTTTCAAAACTTCCTCAGCAACGACGCCTTTTTCGCCAATTAATTTCGTACTCTATTTTTCAAAAATTTTATTCTCTCAAAAGACTTTCGCTAGAAACTTGCTTTCCTTGCTGTTGTATAGCGAAAACTTGACTACAAAGCCGCCAGCAAATTTATTGCGAATAGTGGTTTCAGTAATGTTTTAGGAATTTTCAAAATTTGCTCATCAATGATGTTTTCTTCCACGAACTCGCCTTGCATTCTATTTTTCAAAAATGTATTTTTCTCCTTCTATTTAAATTTTTCCTCTTTTGCCATTGTATAGAGATCACATTTGGCAAGCCATTTGTGAAGGTAGAAACAACCATACATACAAACTGATGATAGTGGAGAAAAACACCGAAACGTATTTGTAACATTTTAAATGATAAACAATAACATTGACTGGAACCCAGGAAGTTCTTTTGAATTAAGTTGAAATACAGTCAGGAAAATATACACAATTAATTTTAATTCAAAATATTTGTATTGAGAAAAGGGCCGATTTGAAGTGATACCATATGTAAAGCTCAGAAAATAAACATCTAAAGTTATGAACTACCTACCTAATGAAAAGGTTTCATCCGACTCTACTGATTAATTTCGCGGAAATTTCTAGGAGAAAGTCCTGGTACAGACGGGGCTCTAAAAGTAATACGATACACCCTCACAAATTGTCCCTCTCCTCGTTTAGAAGACAATCACTTCTTGTTTTTAACAGTTTTTTACATCGACCCAAAGTGGATTTTAATACAATACCGGCCTGGGTAATTTGACGCCAAGCAATCAAAACGTTATGGGGGTTTTGTTTCGTCATTATGCCCCTCCAATGATTATGAACACGTGGGTCTTTCCCAAGACCGATTTTTACAGCCGAATTTTGTGGCTCTGTTTGCTGCGT